AAACTGTATCTTTGGGGTGGGGTACCTGGCCATCTCGTCTGGCTGTGAGAGTCCTGCAGTCTGGGCTGGCAGTGTGCTGATCTTTCAAAGTTTCTTTCCCAGCCCAATCCCCACATTTTTGGGTGAGGTTTTGTGAGGTCTGTTAGGTGTACATCCTGCAGCTTATTGGCTTAAAATGTATTCTCCTTTGTTGTGGTCTCTTTGGGGCCAGTTGGGAGAAAGACAAACAATAGCGCAACTGTTTTGATACTGAATATTGACAAGTGTCTTTTTGAAATAAAGAACCAGTCCCTCTTAAAAAAAAAAAAAAAACTAAAAATGATCCAGTTTGACATCAAAATGTCTCACTTTTGTGAATCAATGGTTATAACAGAACGAAAAGACAACTTATAAAATGGGAGGAAATATTTCTAATTATATATCTGACAAACTCTGAAAATACAAAGACATAAACAACTTTTACAAATAAACAACAACAAAATACTGTGATTTTTAAAAAGGACATACAAAAAAAAAAGAATCACAAAAAAAAATTTAACACGACACAGGACATGAATACATGTTTCTCAAAAAAAGATACACCCAAGGTCAACAGGCACATGAGAAGAGACTCAATATAAAGAATACTAAAATCATTTTAAGGAAAATTCAAAACAAAATGACAATGAGATCTTGCCTCACACACATCATGGTGCCTCGTACACACAAGTACACTAATAAAAAAAAAAGGAGAGAGAGAGAGGGAGGGAGGGAGGAAGGAGAGAAGAAAAACATAACAATTGTTCATAAAAATTGGAGAAATTAGAATTCTATCTTATTTTTATTTTTGTACTGTGGATTAAACTCAGGGTGCTTTACCACAGAGCTACATCGCAAGCCCTGTTTATTTTTAATTTACAGACAGGGTCTCCCTAAGTTGCTCACACTGGGCTGTCTCAACCTTCCTCATTGTTGCCATCCACCTCACCTGACTGAGATATTGGAATTCTTGTGCATAGGTGCTATGAATGAAAAATGGTGCAGCTCTTATGGAAAACAATATGTTGGCCAATTTTTGTAATTTTAGATTGTTTTGGCTTCATTTTAAATTTAAGTTAATTTGGCCCATACCAGAAATAGGGCTTAGATACCCTTAGCACAGTTTTCAATTCTCTTCCCTTCCCAGTTTTTACTGAAATTTACATTATACAACCATTTCCTAGTAACCATCTGTTTAAAGAACACTCCAATACAACCTACTTGACTCATCCACACATAGCCTTGTATACCTTAAACAATTACAGATTCACTCAGGAAATCTGCCTCTGTTAAACCAGGGACCTAACTAAAATAAAGACTTTGGATTTAGTCCTCTGTCTATTTCTGTTGCTCCCCATGGGATGGTTGAGCGTGCATGTCCCAGAAAACTGCACTCATCTTGATGCTCCTGCAAGAGGTGCAGCTTTCCTTAGGATTTCAAAGTCATAAAAACTATTCTTTTCACTTCGTGTGTGTTTTCTGTGTGTGCATATGTATTTTGTGTGTGTGTGTGCATGTGTATTGTGTGTGTGTGTGTTGATGCTTTGTCCTCAGTCTTTTTTTTTCCCCCTCTTCAGTGTCCTGCCCAACTGAAATAACACTTTCAAATTCTCCTCATTTCCAGGGCTCTACTACAAGAGTGGCTATCCTGGTAGAAATGCGTTCCCATCTCTGGGGACTTGCTGCCAACTATTTGTCTGCAGTGGCCCTGCAACTTCTACCCATTCTCTTGTTTTATCCCCTCACCTATCCCCCTATATGCCAACACCTGGTGTGCAGTGGCAAGGTCTTCAGTTAAAAAGGCAGGACTATTTCATTGTCACCTCTTCCAGAAGTCTTTAGGAAAATAAAGAAATGTAAATGTGCATCCCTGGTCCTTAGTCTCTCTTCAGTACTAAGAACTTCCAATGATCTTAGCAAATGATTCAGCTATCATTGCACACTGGGGGTTGCTGCAAACCCAAATTTGGTCAAGAGGGTGGTCCTAGAAGAGGACATGGCTGCATAAAAAGGACCACCAAAAATGCTCAAACAGGCACCACTAAACAACAGGAATTGGCTAAGGAAACATCCAAAGACAAGGGGAAAAATTTGTTTAGCTGCCTAAAAATATAAAACATTCTAAAGACTTACTTAAAAGTTGAGGAAGTTGAGGTCTTGCTGGTGGGGGAGATGTCTCAAGGAAAGGCTGCTGCCCAGGGTCACCAGGTCCCATCTCCATCTTTGCCTGGCGTGGTGGCACACACCTGTAATCTCAACAAATTGGGAGGCTGAGGCAGGATGATTGTGAGTTCAAAGCCAGACTCAGACTCAGAAATAGCTAGGTTCCAAGCAACTCAGCAAGACCCTGTCTCTAAATAAAATACAAAACAGGGCTGCGGATGTGACTCAGTGGTTGAGTGCCCCTGAGTTCAATCCCTGGTACCAAAAAGAACCTCTAATCAATCAATCAATCAATCTATCTTTCTTTCTTTCTTTCTTTCTTTCTTTCTTTCTTTCTTTCTTTCTTTTCTTTCTTTTTCTCTTTCTATCTTTCTTTCTTTATTTTTGTGCTGGGAATTGAACTCAGGAGTACTTAATCACTGAACCACATCCTCCAGCCCTTTTTTCATATTGTATTTTGAGATAGGGTCTTGCTAAATTCCTTAGGCCCTGTCTAAATTGCTGAGACTGGCCTTGAACTCGAATTCTCCTGCCTCAGCCACCCAAACTGCTGGGATTACAGTCCTGCACCACTATGCCCAGCTATAGCCTCCAATCTTAAAGAGGTAACTAAATTTAATAGAGAAAAATGGCTACGCCTGCCTTTCCTAAATTTACTATAATCATAATAGTCACTGATTAAAAATATTTTGTTAGTCCAACATTGTGAATAATATATTAAGATTGAAGTAAGTTTTGGCACTTACAAATTACCTTGATAAAATTGGATTCCCTAAATACTCCAGAACTCTTTTTTGTTGTTGTTGTTGCTTTTGGTGGTGCTTAGTATTAGAACCTAGGGCCTTGTACATGTGAGGCAAGCACTCTACCAACTGAACTATATCCCCAACACTCATATCATATAGTTCAATTTTCCTACTTGTATGAAGTCAAAGCAGGGCTTTTGAGTAAAAAATTAATTATACAAAGCTTAATTAATAAGTAGATTATATCAGCTGGTTCTACATTTGACTAACCAAGTTCATCTCTTTTAAAGACGAAACAAATAAATACATAAGTAAAGGAAATAAAAGGTGCTTCATGATGCTTTACTACGACTTAATGCTTTGTTTCCATCTATCAAAGACTTCCTAACTAAAATTCAGTATTATTAAAATTGCTGGCTACATCTGTTCTATCACTAATAAATATACTGTACGATAGATTTGGATAAACTATTTCGTTCAGTGATTATTCCTGCAGCTTTGAAGCTGCATGGTGCCTCTATCTCCAAAGGGATACAACTCACCTTTTCTAGGCTATATAGATATGATATAAGAGCATCTTTGTTGTTACCCACAACCTCAGCATATAAGATCTTGATAACATAGACCTTTTTCCAGGAACCCAGGCATGACATCTGTTATGGTTAGGGTTAGAATTAGAATTAGGTTTAAGTTCAGGGTTAGGGTTAGGATTAGGGTGTGAGACACTGCAAGAAGGTTCAGAGGAGAAATCACTGGACTGTGAGAGTTATAACCCAATTGGTGAATTAATCCCCTGATAGGGATTAACTGAGTGATAACTGAAGTGGTAGAGTGAAGGAGGAGGGAAATGGGGTTGTGACTTTGGGGTATATATTTGAACATGGCAAGGGGAGTCTCTCTAGGCTTACTGATCATGATGTGAGCTGCTTCCCTCTGCCACACTCTTCTGCCATGATGTTCTGCCTCATCCCGAGCCCCAAGGAGTAGAGCCAGCCTTCTATGCTTTGAGCCTTTTCCTCTTCTACAGTTGTTCATGTCGGGTTCTTTTAATTGCAGCTTCAGAAAAGCTATGTCACATTAAGGGTTCTCTCTTCTATGATGATTTATCTGAAATACTCATTAAGTAAGCATATATATACATACACACACACACACACACACACAGACACAAATATATATCCCCAATGTCTTTTCTTAGCACTTTTTGGCCACTGGTTACAACATATTCTGGTCTTCATTTACATATTTTACTTATGAATTAAAATCAATAGGCATTCCAATTGATTTGGTCAAGAGGGTGGTCCTAGAAGAGGACATGGATGCATAAAAAGGACCACCAGAAATGCTCAAACAGGTACCACTTAAACAATAGGAATTGGCTAAGGAAACATAAAAAAAATGATTCCACACAATGCAAAAAAAAAAAAAAAAAGAGAGAGAGAGAAAAGAAACAAACAACAACAAAATCCCGAAACCTCTGTCAAAATAAAAGCTTAGGCAATGAAATAACTCTGAACCACCCATAATGGCCAATAGTTGCCTTGGGGCTTCCTACGCAAGAACTTGCTCCTTGGTCTCATGCTAAACACCATCAAAACAATAATGACAGGTTGACTACTGGGTTCTCATGGATATAAATACTTGTCATGGTTAATGTGGATTATAATCTTGATGGGGTTGAGACATGCCTAGGAAACATGAGGAAATCTATAAAGGTTTTGTCTCTCATCACTCCAATAATTCCTTAATGAAAGGTCAAAGCATCCCAGGGACCATTGTATGAACCATGTCTTTCCTGTATTCTGATGTCTGATATCTCTGCCTGGGCTGACCTTGGAGGATTGTCACTTTCCAGGGCTAAGCAGTTCCCAGAGAAAGTAAACAACTGGCCTGTAATAGTGGATGTCATATCACAGCAACCACTGCAGACCTACAACTCCAGCTACCTCCTTTATTGACTTCTCACACTATGGGCCACTGTTCACCTACCTGACGCCCCTAGGTCCAGGTATCACCAACCTAGCCCTTATGCCCTGGAGCCTGCTGAAATTACTAAATCTAAGGAATCTGAATCCTTCTTACTCGGCTTTGCCCATTCCTTTCCTTCCAGATGAAAATAAAAGCTCTTGCCTCTCCATTCGAGTTGTGGATGACCTTAGTGGTTGCCCATCTGCTCCCTCACTGGGTGGCATGTCCTTTCTTCTTGAGATCTGTGACAATAAAAAAGATTTTCAATGGCAATAATCTCCTCATTCCTTGGAATCATCATTCTTAAAAAGTAATAAAATCTATATTTCAGAAAAAGTGGTGCAAAGGAAGAGGGTGCTTTAGCATCACAGTGGGATGGTATGTTCCAAGACTTTTCTTACGAATATTGCAAGCAGGTACCAGCAGATTGTGGCATATTCTCAGGCTGTTGCACTTTTGCACTGTGTTACACTTTTGCATTGTGACACTGTCTGGGTGTTGCTGTGGATTTCCACTGAAAATTCAGAAGTTGAAACTTGAGTCCTCCACAAGTTCAGATCTGACCTGTGTGACTCGCCTAGATCCAGATTCAAACTCCTGGGGGCACCCCTTTGTTATACTGACAAGGTCAACTTATAAAAGACTCTTCTTTAGGGCTTCAGGTGTGATTTTTCTCAACTGTTAAGGACAGGATTGGTGTGTACACAGGATGCACTGAGAAGTGATGGGATAAACTACTGCACTGCTATTTTCGACTCATCTCAGTCTGTCCTATGGAGTGGAAAGAGAGCCCTCTCGGGAGATTCTCCTGTGTTGTGATCAACACAGAGTCACTATAATGGTGTTAGGTAGCAGGTAGATTTGAGCAGTGGGACCAAGAAGTTTAAAAGTTAAATTTCAGCCAGGTGTCCTGGAGCATGCCTATAATCCCAAGGACTCAGGAGGCCTTGGCTGGAGGATTGCAAGTTCAAGGCCAGCCTCAGCAACTTAGTGAGACTCTAAGCAAATTTGAGACCCAGTCTCAAATGCTAAGGATGTACCTAAGTGGTTAAACACCCCTGGGTTCAATCCCTGGTCCCAAAGACAAAAAAAAAAAAAAGTTAATTTCTTACATTGAGACTACTTGCTAACTCTCAGCCTTTAAGAATCTCATACAAGGCCATTAAGATCCAGCTTTGGGTTAAAAAGATAGCAATGTATCACAACCCATGACTACATGTTATCTTCAGGGTTATTCTTTCTTCTTAGGGCTCAGGAGTTCAGATTCTTTTTTGGATCTGTACCTCCACTGATCAAAAGAATACAAGTTACCCTTATCAGGATAGGACCCAGATGAAAGAGGGCCTTTGTGACCTTTATGCAAAGATCCCTCAGGATGTCACACAGCTGATTCAGGAACATAAAATTCCCAAATAATATGCATGAACCTCAGTTGTATACTCTGCCTTTCCAGAAAAACAAGGAACTTATGTAAGGACCTGGAGGTTCAAAACACTCTTAAGGCCCCTGTCTCTCTTGGAAGTAGATCCAGGCCCCTCACAGCTGAACTGGAACAAACTATAAAAGAGGCCACCACCTATGCCCAGAGCCACTTGGGCCAACCAGAACACAAAGAAACAAACACAAAAGGATTGAGGACTTAAACACACACACACACACACACACACACACACACACACATTGTAAAGAAATTAATACTTCAAACAAAAGACAAGGAGGGGCTGTTAGAGTTCTCTCAGCAAACACTACTTCGAAAAGTAATATTGAAAAGGCAGAGAACAAACATGCTGCCTATACGCAGTACAGTGGGCACCTGCCCTACCCCACTTTTCTTGTAACCACTTAGAATGTCCATACTGAGTTTCAGCAAAGACAACTACTATGGTTTCAGGCAGCTACAAGTATAAGATACAGAGGAAAAGGGGATAAGATGGAGGCGGTCAGGGGGGTAAGAAAAGACAAGATCCTCTACATAGAAGGGGAAAAAATAAAAGGTAATAAAAAAATTACATTGGGGAATGGGGTTGTAGCTCAGTAGTAGAGTGCTTGCTTCGCATGCATGAGGCACAGAGGTTCGATCCTCAGCACCACATAAAAACAAATAAGTATAATAAAGATATGTGTCCTCTGCAACTAAAAAAAATATTTTAAAAAATTACATTGGTAAATATTATGGTTTGGATGTCAGTTATCCCCAAAAGCTCATGTGTGAGATAATACAAGAAGGTTTAGAGGAGAAATGATTGTGTAATGAGAGCCTTAACCTAATCAGTGAATTAATCCCCTGATAGGGATTAACTGAGTAGTAACTGAAGATGGGTATGGAGCAGCTGCAGGAGGTGGGTCATTGGGGGTGCACCTTTGGGGCATACATTTTGTATCTAGTTAGTGGAGTCTCTCTCCCTCTCTCTGCTTTCCAATCATCATGTGAGCTGCTTCCCTCTACCACAATCTTCTGACATTATGTCCTGCTTCACCCCAAGGCCTGAGGAATAGAGCTGGCTGACTATGGATTGAAAACTCTGAAACTGTGAGCCCCCCAAATAAACTTTTTCTCCTCTAAAGTTGTTCTTGGGGCTGGAGTTGTAGCTCAGTGGTAGAGCACTTGCCTAGCATGAGTGAGGCAGTAGGTTCGATCCTCAGCATCACATAAAAATAAATAATAAAAAGATATTGTGTCCATGTACAACTAAAAAATATTAAATAAATAAATAAACAAATAAAGTTGATATTGTCAGATCTTTCAGTCAGAGCAGCAAAAACAAAACAAAACAAAACAAAAAAAAAAACTGACTAAACCAGAAATTGGTAACTGAGAGTGGAGTCATTGCTGGGCCTAACCTGACCATATGGTTCAGAAGCTTTTGGAGCTTTTTGAAATTGGTGGGAGGAATTTTGAGATACTTAGCAGTGCAATCTGGAAATGTTTTAGCGGAACTTAATGGCCAGTTCTGCTGGGAGCTCAGAAGACCAGAATGGCAATAGAACTGAGCACGATAAAGTCTGGGCTCATGAGGTTTTAGAAGAAAAGGAGAATATTCTTGGCAATTGTACTACAGGCCATTTGTGTAACATTCTGGCTGAGGCATTGTCTGCATTTTGCTCATGTCCTGTGACTTTCTGTGAGGCTGATTTTAAAAGTGATGGACTCCTTTATCTGGTGGAAGAAATGTCTAGGCAGCATAGCATTCAGGCGGTGGCATGGATATTGCTGGTAGTTTTTAGCCAAATTTATTTTGATAATTAGGAGCAGAAAGCAGAGCAAAAAGATTTGACTTTAAGGGCCAGGGTAAAACTGAGGCTAAGGAAGTTGTAGTTGTTATAAAGACATTGTTGACCCTAAAGTGCAACATCCGCTGACCAAACCTGCAGGAATGAAGCCAAGACAAGCCAATTAGAAAGGCTACTTGGAATGTCATCAACAGGGCCACAGGGTTGAAGCTATATAAGCCCTTTGGACAGAACATCACCAGGTGCCAGTCAATTAAACATAAAGACAGGAGCTGAGATTGTGGCTTATTGGTAGACTGCTTGCCTCACATGCGTGAAGCACTGGGTTCTTTCCTCAACAACACATAAAAATAAAGATATTGTGTCCACTTATTTAAAACAAATTCTAAAAAAAAAAAAAAAAAAAAAGAATGATACCAGATGATACATGTCCAGACACCTATAGACCTCAAGAATGGCAGAAAATCTTTCAAGTGGTATTATGTACACTTGAATGTTTCACCTAACTGCTACAAAACATAAGTGAGTATTCAGTAATAAATTAGAATGAATTAAAATGGTCCAAATTATATTGTTACATTGTGAGCATGTATATGAAAAAGGAATCCCAATATTATATAACTCTAATGCACCAATAAAAAGTCTTTTAAAGGCCTATTAACCATGTGTCTAAACATTTAAAAGTAATAAATTAACTGTTTTAGTGAGCTTTTTTGCTACTGTGACTAAATGACCTGACCACA